TGGGAGCTTAGAGGAGACTGTGAGCTAGTGGAGGGAGCTCTAGAGGTTAGTGGTAGTGAGGCTGGCCTAGGGAGGTGGTCCGCCATAGCCCCCAGATTGTGAGGAAGAGGGAGAGGCTAGAGGGAGTCCCATTAGCCCTCTTATAGGGAGGACTCCATAACCATAGGGGAAAGAGTTTGCAATAGCTTGAGAGAGGTTGATGGGAGGAAGGAGAAGAGGGCTTGAGGAAGAAGAAAGTCATACCCAAGGTGATACTTGTGCAAAGAAGGTAAAAACTTCATCAAGGTTGGTGCTCCATCTCCAAGACACTAAGGAGGTGAGTGGAAATGAAAAGATTTTTCTTGTTCTTCTTGTTCTTGTTCTTCTTTTTCTCCTTCGTCTTCTTTTTTCTCTTTTTCTTCTTCTTCTTCTTCTTCTTCCTCCTCCCCTTCCCTTCCTTCTCCTACTCTCCCAATGATCTCTTATTCATATCCCACTCTCTTCTTCTTCAGCCTCCCTCTCTCTCTCCATAGGAACTTTCTTAAGCTTAGAGTAGATGGTAGGGAGCCTACTCACTAGTAATGATCTCCCCATGTGCTCATTCTTCACTCCCATGTGAATCGTCACTTCCCCCCTTGTGATTACATCCATTTGAGTAAGTTTCACTCACTCTTCTCTCACTTTCTCTTAATTTTTTCACTTAGGAGCAAATTGCAACTCTTGTCTTTGCTTAATCTAGTGTTTTGATGATGATTACCTCTTGTTTAGTGCATTTCTCCACTCCTATGTGAAGCGTCACTTCCCCCTAGTGATTTTCTGCATTTGAGAGAGTTTCACTCACTCTTCCCTCCCTTTTTCTCCACTTCTTCACTTAGGAGCAAATCGCAACTCTTGTGTTTGTTTTTTCTCTAGTGTTTGGATAATGTTTCTCTCTTATTTTGTCATTTTCTTCACTACCATGTGAAGCACCACTCCCCACTTGTGATTTCATGCATTTGAGTGAGTTTCACTCACTCTTCTCTCACTTTCTCTCCATCTTTTCATTTGGGAGCAAATCGCAATTCTTGTTTGTGTTTTCTCTAGTGTTTGAAGGATGGTTCTGTCTTGTTTTGTCATTTTCTTCACTCCCATGTAAAGCGTCACTTCCCCCCTAGTGATTTCCTGCATTTGAGAGACTTTTCACTCACTCTTCTCTCCCTTTCTCTCCATTTCTTCACTTGGGAGCAAATCGCAACTCTTATTTGTGTTTTTTCAAGTGTTTGGATGATATTTCTCTCTTGTTTTGTCCTTTTCTTCACTCCTATGTGAAGCGTCACTTCCTCCTTGTAATTTTATGCATTTGAGTGAGTGTCACTTACTCTTCTCTCACTCTTTCCATCTCGTCATTTGGGAGCAAATCGCAACTCTTGTTTGTGTTTTCTCTAGTGTTTGGAGAATGTTTCTCTCTTGTTTTTTCCTTTTCTTCACTCCCATGTGAAGCGTCACTTCCCACCTTGTGATTTCCTGCATTTGAGAGAAGTTTCACTCACTCTTCCCTCCCTTTCTCTCCACTTCTTCACTTGGGAGCAAATCACAACTCTTGTTTGTGTTTTCTCTGGTGTTTGAATTATGTTTCTCTCTTGTTTTATCCTTATCTTCACACGCATGGGAAACTTCACTTCCCACCTTGTGATTTCGTGCAGAGAGAGTTTCACTCACTCCTCCCTTAAATCCTCTCCACTTCTTCACTTAGGAGCAAATCGCAACTCTTCTCCAAGCTTGTTTTAGTGTTTTGATGATTTCTCTCACCTACTTTGCTCAGTTTTCTTACATGATGACATTCCGTTCATTCTTGGTTGCGTTCATGAGCTTTAAGGATGTGTTTGAGCAAATCTCACTCACACGCATGACTCAACTCTCACATGATGATGTTCCATTGCATTCTTGGTTGCATCTGTGAGCTACAAGCATGCGTTTGAGCAAGTCTCACTCACGTGCATTAGTCATCTCTCACGTGATGATGTTCCATTGCATTCTTGATTGCTTTCATGAACTTCAAACATGTGTTTGAGCAAGTCTCACTCATATACATTTCTCATCTCTCACATGGTGATGTTCCATTGTATTCTATATTACCTTCATGAGCTTCAAGCATGTGTTTGAGCAAGTCTCACTCATGTGCAGGACTCATCTCTCACGTGATGATGTTCCATTGCATTCTTTATTGCTTTCATGAGCTTCAAGCATGTGTTTGAGCAAGTCTCACTCACATGCATGACTCATCTCTCATAGGATAATGTTTTGATTCACACTTGGTTGTTCCACTACTCACATGCATGTGTCTCACTAGTCACACCCTTACTTGTCAAGTTCATGCCTTGATGATTGTTCGATTCTCACTTGGCTGTTCAACTACTCATGTGCACGTGTTCTCGCTAGTTCCACCCTGACTTTGTCAAGTCCATGCATTTGGAAATTTTTCGATTCCCACTTGGCTGTTCAACTACTCATGTGCATGTGTTCTCACTACTCACAACCCCATTTTGTCAAATTCATGCATTTGATAGTGCTCCGATTATCACTTGGCTGTTTTATAGTTATCAATATATTCATGAATATTATAGTAATGAATATCTGGTAATGTTCCGATTCTCACTTAGATGTTCTACTACTCATGTGCATGTGTTCTCGCTAGTTCCACCCTCACTTTGTCAAGTTCATGCATTTGGTAGTGTTCCGATTCAACCTTGACCGTTCTACTACTCACATCCTCACCTTGTCAAGTTCATGCCTTTGATGATGTTTCGATTCACACTTGGCTGTTCTACTACTCATGTGCATGTATTCTCACTAGTCTCACCCCCAATTTGTCTAGTTCATGCCTTTGATAATGCTTCGATTCACACTTGACTGTTCTACTACTCATGTGCAGGTATTCTCACCACTTCTACCCTCACTTTGTTTAGTTCATGTCTTTGGTAATGTTCCGATTCACACTTGGTTGTTCTACTACTCATGTGCATGTGTTTCCATCGGTTACACTCTCACTTTGTCAAGTCATGCCTTAATGATCGTCCAGTTCACACTTGGCTGCTTCACTATTCATGTGCGTGTGTCCCCATCGGTTACACTCTCACCTTGTCAAGTTAATGTATTTGGTAGTTGTCCAATTCTTACATAGATGTGCCACCACTCGTATGTGTGTGCTCACACTAATCACACTCTCGTTTTGTCAAGTCCATGTAACTAGTGATGACCGATTCGCAATTGACTGCTACTGTTGTGGGATGGGTGACAGACGCTTGGTTGCTACTGCTGTGGGATGGGTGACCAACACTTGGCTGCTACTGTTGTAGGATGGGTGACCAACACTTGGCTGCTACTGATGTGGGATGGGTGACCGACACTTGGCTGCTACTGCTGTAGAATGAGTGACCGACTTTTGGCTGCTACTACTGAAGGGTGAATTGATTAGGACTAGGAACTCCTCTCCCTCTCCCTCTCCCTTCTCCCTCTATCGATCCTTCTCTTTCTCTCCCCCATCTTTCTCCTTCTCTCCCTCTTTCTTCCTCCCTATCTCTCTCCCTCTCTTTCTCTCTCTCTCTCTCTCTCTTTCTTTCTCTCCCTCTCTCTCTCTCTTTCTCCTTTTTATCGCTCTTCGTCCTACCCTCTCCTCCTTCCACCACGTGGCATATAAGTAACCCTTCCCACCCACTAATTACATTATAAGAGAAACGAACGGTGAAAATAATTTGTCCTCACTTGGCGGAAAAAATGGCCAAGGGGAGGGTTGTCGGTCCCTTGCGCCGCCAGAAAGGAAGGAAAGAGACACTTGAGGGATTGAGAGGAGGTGAGTCCGGAAAAGGGCTAGAGGAAGTTGGTGCTTGAAGCAAGGTGAGTTGACTCAACCATTTCCTCGACTGCATGACTATGAGAAGAGGATGAAATAATTACGTAAAGGAAGGAGAATGAAGGGGGAAAAAAAAAAAAAAAAAAACGTTAGGCATGCGGGAAGAGCTGTGTGTTGACCCCAATGGGGGATTGTGTCGATCTTTGCCTTTGTGTGAGATTGTGCAGGTGAGTAAGCCTTGGGATGTTTTGAGTGGGAACGGACCGGGAGAAACCGGGCGACAAAGGAAGAGGGAAGAGGGGGCAAAAGGGCTAAGGAGCCCCTGGTGTAAAATCTACCCATGAAAGAGACCCTTGTGTATGAGATCTGGAGTGTGAATGAAAGAAAGGAGTGAAACTTTGGTTGATCGGAATGTGAAATAGCGTGTGTATGCGTATGAAGGCGCCGAAAGGACTAAGGGGCTTGCACCAATGACAATGGATAGAATGTGTGAGACACGAAAAATGCATAGAGGCGAGAGGGAAGATGGCGTTGCCGCACCCCGATGACGCCATAGGGCCGTTGTGTTTAGGGAAATGGTGTGTGGCCTAAGGGTGACGCTTTGCCTACACATAAAAGAAGAGGAACTCTCAAAGAATCTTTGGACAACCTGCGTATTGGAAGGAGCATTTGCTTGAAGTACACAACTAAGAATCAAAAAATCAGCGCTTGCGGAATGACCAGTGAGACTACCACTCGGCGCGAGGGCTGAGCTACATCCCCAATGTCAAGCTCTCTCGCTCGACGGCCCACCCCCATCCATCTCAAAGCACTAGGTGGGGGTGACCCTGGGACAAACGGCCCACGCCCTGAGCATGAGCGTGGGCGGGCCGAGCCAACTGGGACTTGTAGTGGGGTCGACAAAGGCTCGAAAGTCTACCGGGGTTTGGCCCTACAACGACGCTCTGGTTTTTGGTGTGTGGCTACTTGTGCGAGCGACGACTGCATTTGAAGTGCACACACACACACACACACAGCGAGAGAGAGAGAGAGAGAGAGAGAGAGAGAGAGAGAGAGAGAGAGAGAGAGAGAGAGAGAGAGAGAGAGAG